TGAGGAGTTCCGTGAGCAAAGGGACAAAGTTGGCGGAGTATAGGTCTTGAACGTCTGCAGTGATTTTAGTCCCCAGATATTTGAGATGATCGTCAACCCATGTAAACGGAAAATCTGCTCTAAGGCGCGAAAGTATCTGGGCCGGTAGCGTAATATTCAGAGCTGAGGATTTTGAGATATTTACTTTAAAATCAGAGAGCTTCCCGTATTCTTCCAGAGCCGATAGAAGGTGGGGAGTGGAGCCTAGTGGGTCGGCAAGGAAAACATTTTAATCGTCCTAATACGCCGCTACTTTTTGTTCCCCTGCCAGTGTGTGAAAGCCTTGGATGTTGGATGATTTCCGAACCGTGCCCAGGAACGGTTACAGAATAAGAGCTAAGATTAGGGGCGAGAGCGGGCAACCCTGACGGGTCCCATTAGATAGTAAGAAGTCTGCGGATCTAGTCTCATTCACTTGTACGGCCGCAGATGGTGACGAGTAGAGGGCAGAGATCCATTTAAGCATGTTGGTACCCAATCCGATATGTTGCAATACTGCGTGCATAAAACCCCAGCGGACCCTGTCAAACGATTTCTCAGCGTCTGTGCAAACCAGTACCAAGGGTGCCCCCCGCAAGTTAGCTAGGTGGATGACATTGAGGACTCTGGATGTATTGTCCCTCGCTTCCCTAGACGGGATAAAGCCCACTTGGTCTTGATGGACAAGCTTGGGCATATGGGGGAGCAATCGGTTAGCTATAATCTTGGAGAAAATGTTTAGGTCTACATTCAACAATGCAATTGGACGATAGTTGCCACAAATCATGGGATCACGGTCCCCCTTGGGGATAAGGGTGATCCACGCCCTAACATGTCTTTAGGGATCAGGGAGTCTTGCAAGATAGAGTTATACGCCGCGAGGAAGTAAGTAGAGAGCTGGGAGGTAAACAGCTTGTAGTAAGCAGCCGAGAACCCGTCGGGGCCCGGGGCTTTTCCTGGTTTGGTAGCTTTAATCGCGAGTTCCAGTTCCGAAGAGGAAATAGGGGCCTCCATCAGGTCCCTGTCCTCAGCGGATAGAACAGGCATATCAGAACCACCAACATATGACCGATCCTCGGGGGTGGGATCGGAGTGAGCCTGGCCAGCCCCCGGGGTATGCAAATTGTAGAGACTATCATAGAAGGCCCTGAACTCCACCGCTATCTCTTCTGAGGACGACACTGTCTGTCCAGCACACGTTACGATTTGGGAGATAAAGGTCCTACCTTGCGCTCCCCTCAGGGCCCTTGCTAGCATCCTCCCGGGTTTGTTAGAAAACATTCTTCTACCATTCCTCATGTGTCTTTTGACTTTAGTGAACAACAATTCGTTTATTTCTATCCTGACCGCTCGGAGCTCAGCCTGAGCTGCCAAAGCCAGTGACCGTTTATGTGCGGCTTCTAAGGAATGTAGACGGCTAAACAGGTGAGCTAGGTGGTTTGCCCCCTCGCGTTTCTTGCAAGCCCCATGTTTCACTAGAATGCCTCTAACGACACACTTGTGGGCCTCCCTGGTGACCATAGGTGAGGGGGAGGAGGGAACGTTACTCGCAAAGAAGGAGGACAGTTCCGCTTCCCGTTCTGTCGTGACTTGGATATCTTGCAGTAATGATTCGTTTAGCCGCCACATATAGCATGGAGAAATAGGTGCTGTCAAGGATATAGACATATGTATGGGGGCATGGTCAGATAAAAGAATACTGTCAATTGTAGCCGAGCGCACGTGGGGTAGTACCTTATGCTCGACAAAAACGTAATCTAGCCTGGAATAGGTTTGGTGGACTTGCTAGAAAAAGGTGTAATCCCTGTCCCGTGGATGCATAAACCTCCAGGTGTCCGTCAAGTGTAGGAGATGGAGCTCGGATTTCAACTTTTTCAAGCATGAATAGGCCAGATGGGAGGTGCCCCTAGAGACATCCACCAGCGGGTCCATTGCAAAATTGAAGTCCCCCCCCCAAGTACCAGAGTGCCGTCTGAGAATTCCAAGAGAACCTGAACCAGAGTGCGGATGAACCCCAATTGATCTACATTTGGGAAGTACACGTTAGCTACGGTCACCAACACGCCACCTATTGTTCCCTTCAGGAGCAAGAACTTCCCATTAGGGTCCACGTACTGATCGGTATAAGCCCATGGGACTGTCTTAGCAATAAGGGTAGATACACCCTTAGTCTTTGAGACTGAAGAGGGGCAGTGATATACAGAGGAATATTCCCTATTGCCCAACCTGGGGATCTGGTCTTTCTTAAAATGTGTTTCCTGAACGAACACAATTTGGGATCTAGCCTTTCTCAGATCCGCCAACAGTCTGGATCGCTTTTCGGGGATGTTTAACCCCTTTGCATTTAGGAATGTGAAAACTGTGGCCGCCATTATAGCAGGGGGAGCAGCCCAGGGGGGGGGAGAGGGGCAGAAAGAGCCAGAAGAAGTGAGGCAAGAGAAAATGAGACCGTAGCCAGGTAAAGGTGGAGCGAAGAATAAGAGCAGGAGCAGGGAAGAGAAGAATACAGGTATGGTAGCAATGCATCGGTTAGTGATTGCAACCCCGACCGGACTACCGGTACGGGCAATAACTCAATACAGTTTTATCTTTTAGATTTAGTCAGATAATTAATTTTTTTGTGCACGGATACTGATTTTAGTGTATTTTATCAATTGAATTGTGTATTTTTTATCGGTTTAATATTAATTTGAGAAACATTTGCGCAATTATCGCAGGGCCTACAAATTTAGTATCACCATCTTTTTGTTCTACCGGGCCTGCGCTTTCAGAAAATATTGGGGGTTTGGGGGGTCTTTTACAAACGCTAGCAACACAGTAGTTGAAAATCAAATCAATGGTAAAAATTGCAAAAATGGCGTAGCCAGCTGATTTGAACAATTTCCCCGAGGGCTTGGCAGGGAAAGGGTTAAAAGTTGCTGTTCCCTTTTTTTTGTTATTGGCTTGCTACAACTGAGCTCTATAATATGTGCTGGGGTAAAGCCACTATAGAGAGCAGATCTATTTGCTGCAGTGCATCCAAACGTCTTGAAGGTTTCAGTGTACCTACAGGAAGAGGAATATAGAAGTGCTTTTTTCTAGGATAAAAGTTCTGTTGTTATCTTTGCTTCTAATCTACTAAATATCCATATGAACACAAATAGATATTTATGCAATTTTATTGATAAAAGCCCTATTTTCCTTGAAAAAGCATTTGCTGATGTATATCATAATGAATAGAAATGGAAATAAATACATGAAGTAAAAGACCTTTTCATTTGACTTTGAAGCAATCTTTAATGATTTGTACCGCATACTAACTCCCAACCAGTGACTCACTGAATTGCTTTAGCTTTATTTCCCCAGAACTAGTATGGGACATATTACTTTTTGTCAATGGCAGATTCCATCAGTGCTAAATCACCCAGGTATTTTGCTTCCAAACTGCAGTATTTGTCCTATAATAGGCAGACATGAGTCCATTGAGGTCAGTGGTCCAACATTCTTATATACCATTTGAGCCCCTTTTAAAACCCATTGAACATACTTTTCATAATAGTATTATTTGTTTACAGATGCTTTCATTATAAAGTTAGTGCCCCACTGACATACTTTTATTCTTTAACTTTTTTAGGATAGGCAGCATTTCATAGTTGTTTGGTGTCTCCTTCTTAATTATCAGCAAGTGCTTTCTTTTAAAAACTGACTGTGGGCACTCTGTTTCTAAATTCTTTTCAGACTTCTTTACTTAACCTCTTAGTGACGCAGCTTCAGAAATGTTTTTTCGCTTCTGAGAACTGGAACAATTATGAAATTTTTGCTGTGTTTTTTTTTAACCATAATTTCCATCTTCCTCATTCATTGCACCTACACATATTACATACCGCTTTTTAAAAGACAAAATGGGGTTTAAGTTGATGTGACATACGCATATGGAAATTCTAATTGTTTTCTAAAAAAGAAAAAAAATGGAAAAAAAAACAAAGTTTTACAGTGTTGGCAATAATAATGTGTACATAATTAGTGTAGCTAACAGAAAGTAACTCATAATAAATTCTTATATTTGTCCTGATTTATAGGGTATATCATATGTCTGGGATTTCAGTTTATTTTGGGAGTTATAAGTCACAAAATACAAGGAGTGAAATACAGATTTCACTCCTTGTATTTTGGAACAGATTTAGAATGTGGTATGTTTGTCTCCTATCTTTAATAGCCTCCCCGGCACTATATTTTCTTATCATTTTTTTACATGTATTTTTTTAAAACCTTTTTGACCTTTTTTTAAACTTCTTTCTTTTTTTATTTTTACAAATGTTAAAAACGTATTTATTTTTTTTAAACTAGGGGCACTAAGGTATTATTTTTTCATTTACAGGGGCTTTGATATTTAGTGTTTAGTATTTCTTTCAATTTGCAAACACAGAGGCTAGCTGTTTACAAACCACAGCTGACAGCTGCTGTCTAACTGTCACAGCTCTGCGAACACAGCGATCAGCTCTGGCTGTGATCACAGAACTGTGACCGCCTAATCTGCTGTTGAGGGTCTGCCTCGGACCCTGAGGGACCCATCAACAGCAGTAACTCAATGAGCTCCTGGTCTCTTCATGGACCAGCGCTCATTGTACCGCAACGTTAACAAACTGATTGATGGTGACGGGATAATCCCGTCATTGGAAGAGGAGGTTATTGGAAGAGGTTATTGGAAACCCATCCAATAGAGGTTACTCTACATGATATCTAAAAATTCTAGTTGCCTGGTTCTTATTCTGAGCACTGGCTTCATTACTTTCCAAGTCACCGCCCTGGATCCTTGTTTTGGGTCAGTGATTTAGAAAGTACTGAAAGGAATGGATTAGGTAACTAGCATTTGCAGAATAAGAGCAGAAATGGTAGCCCATGTATTTCCATCATTACAGATTTACTTGTGTGTTCTTCTGTTATTTAACCCAAAAAGATGAAAAAAAATGTAGACATTGTTTCCTTAAAACTACTGACTTTAGCCGACCAGATCGTCTCCGAGATATAGCCGACCGATTTGGTGTGGATCATGACGCAATGCTAGACAATGTTTTATATGCCCGAGCGTACACAAGTAAGAAACAACTTGCCACTTTTTTTAGATTTTTACTTTTTAATTCATATATTATTGTTCAGCTAAGCTGTTAAATGTGTGCTTAGTCTAAGCCCATTATTGGGTGAAACATGTCAGTGTGAAGAGCATCCATGGCGGACAATGTGTACCTGTGTGCTACAATAATCTTTTCAGTGAAGCCTGCAATGTATGACCGGACGTTTTTTTCTGTAAGTAACTGCTGATGCTTGAGCAAGATAGGCTCTGCCGGTGTCTCTGTGGTGCTGCTTTGAAGGAGCAGTGATTTTGGGCTATATGGAAGTTAGTCCTTTATCTCACAGATTGACTTGGGCACAGGGAAAATGCTTCACCACTCTATAAAAACATCACGGGACGTTTTTTTGAGTACTATACGGATCTGTATAGCTGTTCCCCACCTACTCAAGGGAAACGTCTGCAGGACCACATTGATAGGATTAGCCAATATCTATCCAAATCTGGAACTCCACTGCTTTCAGATGAGGAGAGTCAATCACTTGAAGCCCCGCTTACGGAGGTGGAACTGGTCAAGGTCCTGAAAGAAGCCAAACCACAATTTTCTTCTTTTCTATCTCAACCCTTACTTCATGCCTTCAATAATATCCTTGAAGGCACGAGTTTCCGAAGGACACGCTTGGGGCCGCTATCTCTGTTATCCTGAGGAGGGAGGGGAAAGACCTGACACAATGCTCCAGCTACCACCCAATTTCCCTGCTCAACGGTCACCTTAAACGACATTTCCACTTTTGTAAGTGATTTGTGTTATTTGTGGTAATGTAAAAGTGCAGGGGCGATGTATGTGTGTGCATTGTCAGGAGTCACACTGCTGTTTTTCATACTTTATTTAATAGACTCTTTCACAGGTCAGAGCCCAGAAATTCAAAATTCCCTCCACAGGATCCTCAGTCGGTCTCTACCGAGGGTCCGGTTGTTATCTGTAAACTGCAATCAGCTCATTCCTATCTGCTCTGCTGACCCTTCCTCATGCATGAGCACACACTCAGCTCTGAGTGGAGACCAGAGAGGAGAACCTATTAGTCATCATCACATCTCCTCATAGCTCTGTGTGTCTCCTGCACTTGTGTCTGTAGACTTTCCTCTGTCACTGTGTTCTGTGTGTCTCTCTCTCAGATCTCTCCCTCTCCAGGGTCACATTTACTCTCCCTGCTGCCCCAAGTCCAGGTTCCTCAATGTCCCCCCCCCCCTCATTCTTGTCATTTACTGATGACTTTTAGAACAGATAAATTAAAAAGACAACACGGGGGAATTTATCAAAACTGGAGCAAACAGAATCTGGAGCAGTTGCTCATGGCAAACAATCAGCTTCTCTCTTCAGTTTGCTCAGGTAAGATTTGAAAATGAGAGAGAGAGATGCTGATTAGCTGCAGTGCAAATCTGCTCCATATTTTGTCTACTCCAGTTTTGATAGATCCCCCCCCCCCCCACTGTGCTCTGTCACCAGCGAGTACTG